TTTCATACCTCAAGTACTATTTTATTTCAATATAATATATCCGTTACATTTTCCATGTGGTAAAAAAATAATTTTTTTATTCATTCAAAATATGATACTAATTTACCCTTAAAAAAAAAAGAAAAAACACACACACTCAAACTAAAACCCACCTCCCCGTAACCCCCTACCCCCACAAACAAACCCAGAAACCTTCCACACACCCCCCCCCATCCCACCTCCCTCTCTTCCACTCTCTTCACCTCCCCTCCTATCCAAAAACCCACCCCACCTCTTCGGAGAAGATGCATAACGACAGCGGCAGTGGGTCCCTCTCCACTCCCTGTCACATCCCGACCCGAGCCCCCACCACATCCCGGGCCCGCTTCATCACCGTAGCACGATATTGTCCGCTTTGGGCCCCAACTACGCCCTCACAGTTTTGTTTCTGGAAACCCAGACAAGAACTTCCCAGTGGGTCACCCATCATGGGATTGCTCTCGCGCGAACTCGCTTAACTTCGGAGTTCCTACTAAACCTGAAGCCAGTGAGCTCCCAAAAGACTTCGTGCTAGGTAGAGATGAGAATATACACATAAGACTTATAAGATTCACTCCCTTGAGTGATGTAGGATGTCACACTCCCTTTCTGCCACGATCTCCTCTCTACTGGGCCCTCCCTCTTTGCAACAATATCCTCTCCACCGATCCCTCCAGCTCCCACCTCTTCCTTGTCGTCGGTGAATGCTAAGGCCGCATCAGCCTCCTTGACCTCCGCCTGAAATCATGATCCTCTATTTGCTGGGTTTTAAAGCTTGAAGCTTGCAGATGTGGTTTTTTTTTTTTAATCTACTTTGTGCTCAAATTTTGGGGTTCTGGCTGTTAAATTTGTTTTTTCGATGGTTCTGTGAACTGGGTAGCAGGCATAGGATTTTACTTGGAAATTTTGAATTAGGGTTTTCTAATATTTAATTTGGGATTGTATTTTTGTAATGTAGTGTTAGTGGGGGAGATGGGGGTGGGGTGGGATGGGATGGGTTTTTGGATGGGAGGGGAGGTGAAGAGAGTGGAGGAGAGGGAGGTGGGTCGGGGGGGCCGGAGGTTTCTGGGTTTGTTTGCGAGGGTGGGGGCTGCGGGAAGGTGGGTTTCAGTTTGTTTTTTTTTTTTTTTTAAGTATTAATTATTATAATATTTTAAATGAATAAAAAATTATTTTTTTTGCCACGTGGCACAAAGTTGCTAGTCACGTGATACAAATGTGGCCGCTACGTCAGCACTTAACGGATCAATGAATAGAAAATGTAACGGATGTATTATATTGAAATAAAACAATACTATCGACCCAAAACCTGAGGTGGTAAAGTCTAGCAATGTGTAGTCTATTTGATTTAGAGAAATGCTAAGGAGACTCTTTTAAAAATGGAACTCTCTATAGAGTATATGTTACATTGTGTTTTTGATACAATCTTTTATAATGTGCGTTCGAAAATTGACGTTAAATTATCAGGTAACAGAGAGTTTATAAATAATCGTACTTTGAGAAAGTCTCCTTAACGTGACGTACTCTAATTTTCAATTGTCGCAGAAGACTCATAATGTTCATCATCACCATTCATTCAACAATGGCTCCCATTGTTTTGACTGGCACGATAACAACCAAATTACCTAATAGAGAAATGGCATAGAGAGAGAGAATTTCCTAAAAATGAGATTTTTTATGAACTTTCTAGCAGCTCATGATTTTAGTATAATATTTTATTATGCTGACATGAAATAGACGTTAAATTATGAAATGACAAAGAGTTTATAAAAATTAAATTTTTTAAGACTCATTGTTAACCATGATTAACCTAGCTAAGTTTAAATTAGCAATGAACAAAAAGCATGCTTTGATTTGATAGCAAAGAATAGTAAGCGACTGTGAAAGAGTGGAGAATTAGAAAACACATGCATTAAAGTAGTGAGCTCGATCGAAGTTGACCTTCGTTCGTCTGTACAAGAATACATATGTAACTGTATACACAAGTTTGGTTCAGTTGTACAGATACTGTAGATGCAGGCAATGCCTCTGACCTCTCTGAAAATTTGAATAATTGAAAACAGAAAAAAGACAGATGTTCATGATACTTTCTGCCAGTTCAAATGTATGGAAAATTTCCTAGTGTGACAAATGGACGATTTGGGAAGACAATAAGGTCATCTCCTGTAACGAAGGGCCGATAGTAAATTATTATTTAGTCTTTTGAAAATTAATAATATTGTAGGGTTTAAAATTTTCATCTCCAATCATGCAGTGTTAAATTTATTTTATTTTGGTTTATGATGCATATGTTGGGGCTTGTCGAGGCGTATGAAGGATATGTACCTAACTTTTGACCAAATTTAATCATGATTCTTTTTAATAGAATCATTTTTGTCTTTGGCTAGAGATGACCTAACAAGAATTATAAGTTTAGAGGATTTCAAAACGAGATAGAAAGTTTAGAGATTAAACTAGAACGTCAAAATTTTGGGGAGCATTGTTGTAGAAAGTATTCACAAAATAAAGGAATATGTAAAATTTGCTAGCGTAAGTGAAGCAAAGAAACTCTCTTGTGACGGAAGACATTATTTTAACAAGTATTTGATGAGTGATGTATCTTTAAACATCTAAAAAAAAAATCCATTAGTTGGACAATGTACGTAAAATTAATCAAGGTCACAAAATTTAACAAGAACCATATATAAGTTTTTGGGAGTTGAAAACAAAATTGAAAGTTCATATATCAAAGTAAAATCCAAACTTCTAGGAGCATTGATGTGAAAGTATTAACGAAATAATAGAATATATAGAATTGCGAAAGTAAAAGAAAGAAACCCTCTTGTAACTAAACATATCGTATAGAACAAGTATATAATAAACGCGTGATAAGCATCTATTAGTAGAATAATATAACTAGAATTAGCATTAGTTGATAACTTGAAAGATAGAATCTGTTGAAACAAAGACCGAAAGTCGGTAGGCTGGAATATAATGCAGGCATTGGGCAAGGTGGAAAGTTTTGTCAAAGAACTAGGAGAGTAGGTGCCGATGGCGATGTGTTGGAATTGAGTTGTCATGTCGACATAGTTGTAAATAGTAAGTTGGTCAAATCAGTCCAACGCATTAAAAAGTAACACAGAAGAAAAAGAAGAAGAAAGAAAGAGGAGGAAGACAGCTGGGAAAGAGAAGGCACCTCCCCACCCCCATCCCACCCCACAACCGACCACCTTCTCGTTCTACCACTTTTGCTTGCTCCCTTGTTTACTTGTTTCACTTTACGGATTAATTCTACGGAGTTAGTTTAGTGGGAAGCGATCAACAGTTTAGGATTCTCAATTTGACTTTGTTCCACAGATGGATTTTTTGAGGTCATCTGCTATTCTTTGGCATAACATTTGACACAGAAATTATAGATACGAAATTATCTCATATGGTATTGGAGCTGCAGAAATAAGAAGACAGTGTGCTTGTGCAGTGAGATACTTTTTTACTTCAATTGTTTTTGGGGCTTCTAGACATAAGATTTATGTTTAAAAGCCCTTTTTACTCCAATAAGATGATTTTCAGACTATAACCTGAAAAGTTTTCTACATCTAAAAAAGTTCATTTATTTTAATGCATCATGACATGTCACTTAGGCGTTAGAACAATACAATATATTATATTACTATTCACAAGAATGTCATCTTTGTTGTGTCCAAAACGTAAGCTCCACCGTCAAAGTTTTAGAAACGGAATCATAGATTCATTATCACCCATAAATGTATCTTCCATCTTCATTGTCCACATGAATGCCATCATTATTCTCTATAACATACCTTTTTTTTTCTGTTTTTTTTGTTCTTGATATTTATTCAAATTTTGAACATTGTATAACCATAATGACATTGTGTGGGGAATGCACTAATTTACGTCTAAAAATTGTCTTAGCCAGACATGATTACTTTACCATGCATACCATGCGGTTGTTGAAAGACATAGTGGGGAATTTGCATTAACAAATGATATTAAAACCACGAAAAGGAGGAGAAATGTGTTTAGCCTCGTAATAAGTTAGCAATAATGTGGTTCAATGTTGCATATGGCGAGAATCAAACTTAGTACCTCTCGTGACTAACTTGTAATACTAAGTGGTAGGATTGAATTTGCATTGTTTGGTTCTATATACAATTAGGTTCAGTAGATTCAATACATTGGGTAAGTTGTATGGTTTAGCCTTGATAGATTTGGTATGATCAATTTGGTTTGGTTTTATTTTTTATGTTTTAGTTCGTTAGGATTTCAACACTTTTGACTCGTAGGTTCATACATTAGTTATGATTTGTAAAATCTAATGCTTTTTAATTTTTTTTCGTGTTTGATCCATATAACAATTTTACCTAAGAGTAATATAGGCAAACTATAAACAAAATAAATTTATAAAAAAATAAAATAAAATCTGACTTTAGATACAAGCGTGGACACTAGTCAAAGAACTATTTTTAACTTTTAATCTTGCATACAATATTATTAAAAAAATTATATTTTTTAGAGCTTAAAATAAGTTTTCCTATTTTTTTCTTCAGAAATTTGGACATGCATGCGTGCTATTAAATTTGTTCAAATGGTCTCAAACGAAAAGACAAAATTGTATTTCTTCTTTTTGAATAATTGAGATCTCTTCATGTGTTAAAAGCAATAAAATCTATTTATTTTTTTTTAGTAAAAAGAGCAATAGATATTAATTCACCACAAAAGTAATAGAATCTAATTATAGAAAAAGGACAAATGAGAGTATAGTATAAAATGAGTATTTGTGGGGCTTTCAATTTCTCTCCTCAATTGGTCGTAAGAGGCTTAAAATTTGAACTAATCGATGCGCTGAACCGATCATAACTAAATAATAATTATACAATTCTGAAAATATAACATAAAGTTTTATCTACAAATAAAATGAATGCTAATAAATCGCAATGTTACACATAAATTATATTTCCCAAATAAGATGTTCATACATTGTTCCCAACTGGAACTATGAAGAAAAAATATTAACTTTGAAAGCTGAGTGATAAAGGCTGAAGATGTAACTGCAATCTCTCTCTCTCTCTCTCTCTCTCATTATATCAGGCAGATGGATCTTTGGGTCTGGTGTTAGAAATCAAGCCTAATAAAAACACCCTTCTGCTATTTCCAAAGCAGTTGCAGTGCGGCAGAAATACTGCAGGTTCTTCCTCTCTCTCTCTAGTCTCTAACTCTAGCTATCCATGTTCTTCCAAATTTTTAATTAATTTTAAAATTCTTTTCTGGGTTATACTTTACTAATATTTTATCTCTCATCTGTCTTGTCTGACTGTCTTTTCTCAAGTGCCTCAGGCTTCTGCACTACCTTTAAACAAAACTTTGCAGGCTTTTTCTGTCAGAACCTCTGCCAAAAGCCTTAAAAAAACAATCTCCACACCCAACAAACCCAACATATTAATCTCACCCAGTAAACCACTAAATCACCACAACAGAAAAACAGACCAAGCTTGAACCCCACCCCATCTCTCTCTCTCTCTCTCTGTCTTTCTCTCTCTAGATGGACTTCCACCTTGAGCAATGGAGAACCCAGCAGCATGAGTCAGAGGAACAACATTCTGCAAAGATACCAAAACTTGACCTTGATCCGCTTCAAAACGCAGAGCTTCCATCTGCTGCTGGGTATGCTCTCCCTCTGTTTGTTCCTGAACCCAACACCAAAATCCTGTCAGCAGCATTTTCTGAATCCTCACCTGCCACTTCCAGATTTCCCAGTAAGATTTTATCTTCTTCCTGAACCTTTCCCTTTTCTTTCTCCTGTCACACACACATGCATCCAACCCACAAGAAAAAGTTTGATTCTTTGAATAGAAAAGTTGATGTTCTTGTTTGTTCTCAAGTTTTATTTTTAAAAGCTCTAATCTTTTAATTTAATTATTGTTTTATGTGGTAGAAATGGGAAGCTATTTCAGCTTGTCACAGTGGCAGGAGCTGGAGCTGCAGGCTTTGATATTCAGGTACATGGTGGCCGGTGCGGCTGTTCCTCCGGAGCTTCTTCAGCCAATCAAGAAAAGCCTCCTCCATTCTGCTCCTTATTTCCTCCACCACCCTCTCCAACAGTTCCCTCACTTTCAACCTGCTCGTAAGTGTACTTTTAACTCCAAACTTTAATTAAACCAAATATTATTATTCAGATTTGTTTCAAATAAGAATCAATTTAAAATGCCAATTTGATTTGCAGACACGGGTTAAGTTAGTTAGTTAAAGTAGCGTCTCTTGCCCCCTAAGCTCGAATCTCCTTTCATAAATTAGAGTAGTTTAGAATATCGTTTTTCAAAGAAAACAGTGCCCATTTAGTGGATTAATATTCTAATCTAAGCTAAATTAGGGCAAGGAAGATTTGAACTTGGGTCCAAAACTTGCTCTAGTCAACTTGCTAAGCCCAGTTTTGCTGAGATTTGAGTGAGTTGAGCATGAAGATTAATGAAAAATCATTATGTGTATTGTCTATCAGTGTTGCAATCAGGTTATTGGGGAAGAGCTGCCATGGATCCGGAGCCAACGAGGTGCAGGAGGACAGATGGGAAGAAATGGCGGTGCTCGAGAGATGTGGTGGCGGGTCAGAAGTACTGTGAACGCCATGTGCACCGTGGCAGAAACCGTTCAAGAAAGCCTGTGGAAGTTGCCACCACAACCACCGCCGCCACCACCACCGCTGGTGGCGGAGGGAGTGGCACTAGTCTTAATAATGTTACCACCATCACCAATACATCGGCTAGCGGGACCCATTTTGCTCTTTCTGGGTCTTCATCGTCCCCATCGATTGATCTTCTTCATCTCAACCAAAGGTAGTAAACAACCACCACCAAAGCTATTATTTTTTGTTTAATTTAATTTGAACTAAATTAATGTCACTTGTCGAATTAAATTAATGTAGTCCTCGACAAGTGACAACGGCTAATGTTAGTATGAAACACTTCAAGAATCAAACACACAAGAAAAATAAAACACACTAATCGTCATTGCACAACAGGTGGTGGCGGGTTTTGTTTCCTTTTGTGTGCTTCTTTTTAAGTGTTTCTCGCTAACATTGACGAGAGGGCACGCTAATAAAGTAGGTAGTTTAATTATAGAATCTCATGGGCCCTAAAAAGTACATGATGCTCTATTTATATGCTCTAAAACTCTTTTTTACTTTGATTTCTTGCCCGTAATTGCTAGTGTTTCTTGTGAACTTTAGTTCTTCAGAGGCCAAACCTGAGAACAGGAGCCTCTTTGAGCCCCGCGGTGAGGTCTCGGCGAGTGCAAAATCCGACAGCCATGTGTTGAGGCCCTTTTTTGATGACTGGCCAGGGAAGCTTCAAGAACTCGACAATGCAAGAAGCAATGCTAGCTCAATGAACTCGGCCACCAGCCTCTCCATTTCGATACGTGGAACTACCTCATCGGATGTGTCGTTGAAATTGTCCACTGGCAATGGGGTCGAGCCAGGCCACCAGGACAGCCATGCCGAGCGTGGGCAGCCACAGTTGAATTGGCCAGCCGGGTGGGCAACAAACCAAATGGCTTCCATGGGAGGACCACTTGCAGAGGCCCTGCGGTCCTCTTCCAACTCCAATTCGTCGCCAACCAGCGTCTTACATCGGTTGCCCCGCGGCCCTGCCTCCGAAGCTAGCTTCATCAGCACTTGAATTATCATCCGTATCGGACAGTTCCGGCAAGCTTCTTATAGTTGCTTGTGTAAATCGCTCTCGTTATTTTACTTTAGTGGACGAGTTCTGTGCATGTTTTAACCAAAACAAATTTATCACTCATATCTCGCAGAGGTGCAATTGCTATTCACTTTTCACGTTAAGGTGGTTCTCCTTTGTGAGCTAGACCATTTGGTAAAGATATAGTTCCGCTCTCATGCGCTCAAGTTTAAATTCTTTTATCCGTTATGTAAGTACATCGTTTGAAAGAAAAAAACAACCATCGAAGCATGTTCGATAACAAAACTTGGCAAGCCCAAATGTTTGCCAACTTATGTAACACCACGATCAGCTACATGCTCCATCTGTACATTAGAAAATCTCTAGCTTGGAAAACAAACTGCCATGTTAGTCTACTTTCCCATAGGCCTATGAAAGACACTGGTCTCCTAAACTTCCGCCCAAAATCTCTCACCTTAGCAGTTTTAAGTTCTGGTTTTACTTTGTTAACCTCGTTCTTCCGACTTTGGCGTAGCATAACTGCCGAAGGCAACGGCGGAATTCCATGTTGACGGCACTTTTATTAGCTAACGTACAGCGCGTCTGGTTTTAGGAGTGCGGGAGGATGTAGACATTTTGAGCAACGGAATTGAATTAGAGTTGGATATCAAACTTTTTAGGTCCCTCTATGAAGGCGTAGACCACTGCTGTTCTACAAGGTGCATACAGTAGGAAAGAATGAGGCCGCTCATCGAACCACCCATCCTGCAGATCACAAAGAGGGTTAGTAACATTTTACAGCCGGGAAGTACTCACCTGAAGTCTACACATGATAGCACTAGAGAAGATCCAAAGGAAATTTTTCTTACAGTAGTGAAGTATTCAGCACTGTGATCAATCCTATCGAAGCCTCCGAATAACTTTTCATCCGAATCCAAGACAATCTGGAAGAAGGAACATTATCATATGAAAAGAATATGCGTAGAGGAGTTCTATGACATGCACTTAACCAATATAGATCAATTCTAGAAAGAAAATGCGAAAGCGCGGAAAGATAGTATATTAGGCTATGAGGGCTTCATAGAAATTTTTAGAGGAAATACCTTATACTTTCCTGGCTTTAAGCAGCCAACTCGGTAGTCTGAATAGCTGTTACTCCAATGAAAATTGAAGACAAAAACCAGGTCTCCCTTTTCAAAGACGATAATTTTGTCTCCTTCATCCTTGCGTGATATGTATTGATGCTCAGAAGTCATGAACTGCATCAGCAGTTGACCAATTTTTCATATTATAATCTAACAGATATGGCACACCTTTGCCCTAAGTAATTAAGCACATGTACGCATTTGACTGAACTTACACCATAGGTTTCTTCAAGATGTTGCATTGCTCGATCAAATTCTTGCATTCCATGATATCTTAGATACTCTGCATCCCCCTGGCCAAGCATAATCAACAATGCAGAAAACATACGAGGTAATCAGAAGTGACAAAGGTTATGCACAATTTATTTTCTGTAAGGCCAATATACCCTTAAAAGAACCAGGAATATGGAAATGGATATGCAAAGTTCAACAAGGAGATAGTACTTCAAGAATTTCATGTGCAAACATAAAAGGGATTGCTCAACAGAGAGATTCTATAGTTTAGTAATTTGCTAGTAGTAGCACTGTCAAGATCAATATATCTTGATGTTTATATCACGAATACGCTATTAGGTTACCAATCAACTTGACCTCGGTTGGTAATTTTCTACTGCCTTTATAAGTAACATTTAGTTGTTTTATGTCATCATGGTCTTCAGTTTTTCAGCACAACTGAAAAATCTCTTAGGAATCATGCATTGCTTCAATTAGCCACCATCCGAACTAAACACAAATTCTTGTTATAATTACCAAACTGTTGATGCACAAAAGTGATATAAACTAATAGGCGTGCTTCATGGATAGTAAGAACTTACAAGATCAAATCTACGTCGGCATTTGTCAAAACTGTTATTGTTCCCAGGGACTATTTTTCCGTTTGGAAGATGTTGAACGCCTCTTGGAAAATCAATCCACTCTGAAGAGAAAAATAAACACAAATATGAAAATGAATGGCAGCTCGACAGAATGATGATGTACAATATCACATTTTGGCCTAATCTTACCAGGATGTCCAAATTCATTTCCCATGAAATTCAGATATCCTTCTCCGCCTAATCCCATAGTAATAAGCCTAATCATTTTATGTAATGCTATTCCACGATCTATAAGGGGAGTTGATGGTCTATCCACAGCCATGAAATCATACATATCCTGAGAGAAGCATAGAATATTAGACAAATAATTCTAATACAAGAAACCAAAGTATACACATCCTTCAAGTTACAAGATATGCAAAATGCAACGAAAACTTGTCTAACCTTGTCCATCAGCCAAAATGCAATTGTTTTGTCACCAACAAGAGCTTGGTCATGACTTTCGGCATAAGCAACACAATTCTCCCCCCACCTTCTGTTGGTGAGTGTGAAAACAATATCACCCATTTGCCACTCTTCATCCATTTTCCTACATCAAATTTCATGCAACAATGTCAACCAAAGTTGATTCGTTATTTTTTTATTCCACAAATGCCTCCTACATCAGATAAAAGACTTTCTAACTTTAAAAATGGAGCAGATATGCTTTAGTATAGCAACTTACTGGAGGAGCTCAATCCATTTATCAGCAATAGCCATATGCAGGCGATAATCAAATCCAACACCACCATCTTTAACAGGAACACAGAATGTTGGCATTCCACTAACCTGTAATGGTAGACATATGCATAACCAGTATAACAGCCTATAAAAGTAACATTTTCATCATATTTTAAAGCAATTGAACAGGAAAAAACAGATTTGACTTGTTAAATCAGCTAATGAGTGATGAATCAATGCTCAGAATATTTATGGCTATTGTTTCTGAATATAACAATAAGCTCCTCTATAAAACCTTCCTCAAACTTGACAGGTCAATTTGATTGAAACTCAAACCTGGCTGTATTTTCATTTCTAATGAGAAACATTGAAATGTTATCAACTCAAAACAAGCTGAATTAAATACTCATCTGAATAGAAATAGTTGTAAACTACATGAACTTCCACGTCTTAAGGATTGGGGGAAAGAGGATGAGATAAAAATTCAAATAGAAAAAAAAAAAAAACTAAAAAAAAATGTAGAACTTATATAACAGAGGTAATATTTTATTTTTCTTATTTCAAGTTACCTAACCTTGTAAACAGTTTATTTCAGTTCAGTCCACTATGAAATCTAAATTCATTACTTGGGAGATAACTGCAACAAAGGATGCTCAACTTTACTTATGAAAGGGAATAGAACATACATCTTCACCAATGGTAACAGCTTCAGGGTAGAGCCCATGAATCAAATCGTTAACCAGCATCAGGTAAGTAACAGCATCTACATCGGTTGCTAACCCAAAGTACTCACTGTAATTTCCAGTAAATGCTACCTAAAGCAAGCTCAACCAATAAACAAATATAAGAACCTGTCATTGGATATTTAAAAGTAAACTCGAATTGTGGAAGCATATGTAGCAACAGAGGTACCAATGGGAATACCAAAACTGATATTGGACATCAGAATCAACAAAAAATTATGCTGACAATAGATTTTTTTGGGTCAAATATGCTGTGAGGATAGATAAGCATGGAAGTTTTCCATCAAAAATTGTAGGACCTTAAAGGAAAATAAAATAAAACATAACCAAAACAAAACGTACTCATAACATTTACTATTTCAGTGAAACTTAAGATTGAATAGCATATGAGTCATTCAGATACCCTTATTAGAAGACAAAGTAAAATCTAAAAAGGTACCTCCAATCCATGGTGAGTGTACATCATTGAAGTCACACCATCAAATCTGAACCCATCGAACTTGTATTCTTCCAGCCACCACCTTGCATTTGAAAGAAGATACCTCAAAACCTACATGAAAAGTTAAAATCAGTACCTCATAAACATAGGATAAAGCAAAAGATTAAGGCCAAATTTCTCACAGTGCACTATTTAAAGAAAAGAATGCACAAAAGCACATACCTCCCAGCTTCCATAATTAAACAAGCGGGAATCCCACATCCAATGATATCCTCGAGACCCCGAGTGGAAGTAATGACTATCGGTTCCATCAAACATGTTCAAACCATCCAATGTGTTATTTGATGCATGGCTGTAGTGTTACATATTTAGCAGTGAGATATTTAGACAAATAAGTTCATAGTAATTAACAAGTAATTATTAGGTCTAGAAGTATGATTCATGCAAACTATTTGAATAGGATACAGAGTGAAAAAAGAATTTGACATCGTCAATCCCAATACAAATAGGTGGAGTAATACATCGAACAGACTAAAGTTAGTACAATAAGTATAAAAAGAAATTTATGGAAATCAGTATTTCCTCTAAGCATGTGAAAAATGTTGAATATGATTAACCCATAGATGTGTCCAGGAACCTAAGTCCTATCTGCTGCAAACAATTAGTTAAAAGCAATGGTGGGCTCACTACGAGTTGAGTAAGCCTTTTGTTTAGCTTGAGGACAAGTATTGTAAGCCACTAAGTCAAGGAAGGGCTATTACCTGTGAACAATATCCATGAGTACAAGCAGACCAAGCTCATGAGCTTTATCTATTAGAGACTTTAGGTCGTCAGGGGTTCCACAGCGGCTGCTAGGAGCAAAAAAATTGGTGACATGGTACCTGCACCACAAACAGAAAAAATTTCAATTTTATTTTTAGAGAACATCAACCGTTCACAAGCAAGTACCACATGTAGCACTGCCTACCAATCCATTTGTTTCAACAGAAATATATTTTCCCAAAAGATAAAACGGAGTACATACAGTTGGAGCATATGTTAGAAGGACAATACCCAAAGCTAGCATAGTAGGAGTGCTCTTGAATAGCCATGAGTTGAACAGCATTGTAACCAAGCTTTTTAATGCGTGGAAGCACATCATCTCTGAATTCAGCATATGTGTTAATTTTGGGCTCCTGCAACTCAAAAGTTAATGGTACTGTGAGGAAATAAAATTTAATTAGTGATAAGAAACCAAAAGGAAGAAGAGATCTAAGACAGCTCTGTGGCACAGTAATCCCCTTGAACTTTGGATGGTTTCATGTGGATAGATTTAAATACAAAAAAAATACCATTGATGCTGTTAGAACTATAGATGACAGACATAAAAAGAAGATGTTTCAGGCATTTGTTAAATAGACCAGCCCCTTCCCTTTTCCTAACTTCTGTCCAGAAACAATGAAAAAGAAAAGTACCGAATCATCTCTGACACATAATATATTCCAATTTTATTCTTGTCTAACATGTTAAAACATGGGTCATAAAATTTCGGCCACAACTAGAGCATTCATTTGTGAGGCGCATGCCAAACTGAACTCCCAAGTCAAGGATCTTAAGTTATGACCACCTGCACTAAAATAAAGAACTTTAAAAGCTGATTTCTAAAAATAAGATCGTACTGTTCTACAGCACACCTAAGGTGAGGCTTATCAAAAAGAAGAATTAAAAATTAATGTGCAAGAACATAATAATTAGCTGAATAAGCTAGAAGGGTAACAATGCACACCGTGCTACTCATTCCAACATGTGCCTCATAAATGCGAAGTGATTTTGGTCTACTCGGCTGAGAATGTTGAAATACATACTTTTCCTGAAAAGAAGTGCATGCGAGTATCATTAACCCATTGAAGAGTAGAACAATAATAGGAAACGTGAACATGTAAATGAAGCAGATTAACCTATTTACTGTCTTAACTATTTCATAAAAATTAATGAAGTGATGTTGGAGAGGGAATGATTCCCAACTGCAACCTATGATAAATCAATGAACTGGTATAAGAATCCTATGAATCATTAATGACTTGGGAATCATTCCCTTTCCAATATCACAAACATTTGCTCAATTTTGATTCAATCCTATGGTTTAATTTCTACCTTACTGCAGCCTTTCTTCTACCCAGAGGCCCGGCATCCCTACCAGTATCTATCAAGCATAACTGAATTTTTTTTTTTTACCTAAGAACATACCTCTTCTGGTGGATCATAGTATATGCTGTTGTATGGGATTTCACCTGGAGCCTGTATGGAAAACTTGATCCAAGCAGGAATCGAGTCTTTGATGCCTGAAGGAGTATCCATACGGATCTGCGATTTCACATAACATACTGAATTAACTACACAAATTTATCTTATGGCAATAACATGAGATGGGCAAAACTTGCAATCGTAGTATGCCTTGAAACTATTGTCTCATTCTCCACGTAAATTTCTAGAAGAGAACAAATTAAAAAAAGTGTATAACCAAGCTCTTTTTTGAAATTATCACCACAAACAAGTCAACAGATGAATTAGTTAAGGATTACTTAGACGAAAATAAGTCCTCTTTTTATTCGCTGGATTATGAAGCATTACAGTAATAGAGAAGGAGCAACAAAACCAGCATACAATTATCCACAGCAAGTATTACCTTCACTCGAGAACCATGTGGAATTGGAGGTGAGCCATCTGCATTGTTTGGCAAAAAGATCTCCCAGACTCCAAAGTCATTCTGTTCACATATGGTACATGAGCAATGTTGTTGTACAAAAATATTAATCATGTGGCTTGATGTAATTCATTTGTTCAGTATCTTGGAAATCCCACTGCTAAAGTTCCAAAAACATACCTGAATCATCACATCTGCATTTGTGTTCCAATTGTTGAAATCTCCAATCAGTGATGCTGACTGAAAAGGACAACAAGAAACGGCAACCATGGGATTATTAAGGCACCTAAACTGGTCTAATAAAACCTTCCATCAAATGACAAGATAATCCTCACAACAAAATAAGGGGAAAGGATCTTAGTAAGCACATTGTGTCCATGTTTGTTGGTCTCAATAAGTCACCCTTATACAGAGAGTAACTAACAGCAAAAAGGTAAAATCCTTAAAACACCAGTCAAGAAAAATGAACCTTTGCTCCAGGTGCCCACTCCCTATAAGTGATACCTTCGGCACTGAAAAACCAGTAGAGATAATAATCAGCATTAAAGATTTGACAAATTATAATTTACTTTTAAACCAAAAACTATGGAAATTACTATGGGAAATTGAAAGGAACCCTAAAAGAAAAAATAACAAAAGATATTACCCACAGAATAAATACAAAGATGTAAACAAGGACGATAATTAGCTAAGAAGGTGATAAGAGGCACTGCCACAATAAGGTGGATGAGAGCGTGAAATTGCTAATCGTAACACAATAATATAACACCAGTATGCAGTTCAAAACAGTCAAATTGCAGAACTTTTCTCTCGTCTGCTCGATGATCTATCTGACCTTGTACATCGACACCCAATTAGCATATTTATTAATTTCTATTCCATATCAAAATAAAAAAACAACTCAAAATGTGGTATGCATTCAATGCTGTAAACTAGTAAAAAACATGGAAAATACGTGGACTGCAGAAGATAAAGGCCAAAAGTAATACCTGCGTGTGAAGCCAAACTTCTCATAGCCACGAGAAAACACCTCTAAACCACCTTCGTACTTGTCAATCTCCTCATGCAGCCTTTTGTATTGTCCATAACTGACCATAGTTAAACCAAATTACTTAAAGCCTTATTAACCTAATTTGGACATAAAGCAAAGCATAAGGATTTGTAACTGGAAATAAGAAAAAGAAAGAAACATAATTCAGTGCACTAAAGGAGCAACAATAAACTTGCACTTGTTACACTAACCAGCTAGCCGCCATGTACTCTTTTGCTTGAAAGGGGTAGCGACATTGCCATTAATCAATTTATTTAATCTTTTTTTCAATTTTAGGCCATCATCCATTCACGTTGTATATGTATTATTATCATAAACTAAAATATGAAGGGGCATCCTACCGGTAATCAAGGTGATCGCGGTGACCCACCAAAAGTGAATCTATTTCATATATCTTTTGCCCATTGCCAGGCGGTGGAATTGTCTTTCCTGTAGCTTTGTTTGCAGCAGTACTTGCTTTCACTTCTAAGGGACGAGGTGTGTCCTCAACCTTGGCTTCAGCCTCATCAACATTGTCCACAACTATTGAAGGGGCATCCTCAAGCTTCTCTTCATCTTCCTTTGCTACATTATCTACATCCTGAATCACCTAAACAAAAATTATACATACACAGTTCAACAATATGTTATTCAGGATCCTCCAAGATGTCACACGGAAATTGACTATGCTATGGCATTCTGCACACCCAATAAAACCTTCGAATTGAAAGCATAATATTTTTATTGATACCACAGAACATAACTGGTATGCATATAGATGGGTATCATAAACCTGAGAATCCTCTGGAACTGTACTCGCACCTCCCGACTGCTCCTTCTTCAAAGACGAAGAGCCATCACTCTGGCTGTCAGGAACAAGCATTTTCTTCGATGCAGCAACCGCTAAAGATGGCAAATTAGAATCATACGAAGGCTTTCCAACAAAGATCTTCCCTACAAACACGCATCAATTTAGCTTAACACACACACACCACAAACATCGAACAAAACATATGAAATAATAATAAAAGAAATCATTTTTAAGTTAATAAAGTCATCTCTTAAGCACAAAATCGACTTAAAACAATACCTTTTTTTCTAAAATTTTAATTCTTTTCAACAAAAATTAAATTTAAAATTGCTATCGGACACAAAAAAAGCATAGGCATTGCGTCCATATAATCCGTAATCGAAATCCATATGCTTTTTTGTCCTCTTCAAAAGCATAAGTCTCCATTACTGTTCCAAGCTTCCAAAAAAGCTCACGGCATATCCAAGTAAGCTCCATGTCTAAGAGGGTGACCACTAACAATCAATCTACGCATAACTTCAAAAACTAAAATTAAAAACAATAATAATGATAATTTCATAACAAAAAAAAAAAAAAAAATTAATTACTGAAAAATAAACAGAAAATCCAAGCAGCCGATTGAAACAGAGAAATCGAACTCGAATATCAATTTTTTCGAAACGAAAAAAGAAACGGAGAGAGAGGGAATACGAGAGAAGGAGGTATTGGAGAGGAAGAGAGAGAGGCCGGAGGTCCTCCGATCGCCATTGAAGCTGGAATGCGAGGTGTGGGCGGAAGGTAGGAGAGGGAAGCGAATCCCCGAGAGAGTCGAGACCATTTCTTCTTCCTCCTTTCGTTATCAGATCGACCGAAGCGCGCGAGAAGGATCGATCGATCTCGAAGCAGCAGCAGCAGCCGTTTCGTTTTGCGGAGTTTCGAAACTCGCCTCCCGGGAGAAACGTTGAGTGAGCGAGTGAGTGATCCAACAGAGAAATCGGGGAGAGCGAGAGAGATAGAGAGAGAGAGAGAGAGAGAGAGAGAGAGGGAGGAGTGAGAGAGTAACTAAGTATTTTGTTGTACACCGCTGGATGCCACGTGTACAGTTGAGAGTTGCATGGGATGTGTGGGTGGGACCCAGTCTGCTTCTCCACTAAATTTTCGGTCGTCCATGGAATTTAGATTTTTATTTATTTAGTATATATTTGGTAATTTAAAAATTAAACAATAAAATAATTTTTTTTGGGGGGGGGGGGGGGGGGGGGGCGGGGAGTAGTATCTTGGAGGAGGATGAGGAACGAAAGGCTGTGGGGGGAGAGAAGGGATATTTTTGAGATTTTGTTGCCCGTTTGCTGCCATTTCTTGTTATTTTCACATAGGTTACATTCTTATTGGAATCAAATGAATTTTTGTATTTCCTTCTGGAATTTTAATTAAAATTTAACTAGTTTTGATTGAATTTTTTTTTTTTTTATAAAAGTGATTAGTTGATAGTTTCGTCACGACAGTTCACCATTTCAAGAGCTGGAAAGATTCACAGAGGAATTTTAATCTCACTGACCACTATTGTGTGATTCATCATGAATCGAACTCAGGACGTGCTATGTGAAATACAAACTTAAAATTCGTCTTCAATTACTAAGTCACCCCATCATAAGTGAAATATTTTATATCCAATTTTGTTGAAGAATAATTTGAATCAGTTTATAATTATGAGATTATAAAATAATTTAACGGATTGAAAGTAAAATCACAGACGCAAAGTACAACACGTACATCTTTTTCAGTCCAGTCATTCATAGCCTATCTGTGACTCTGTGTGTCTCTCTCTCTCTCTCTCTCCTATCTTTCTCTCTCTAACAAAAGTCACTCTCATGAGTCATGACCTTTGTTTTCAGTTAACCTTAAAAAAATGGACAGAAGTGAATGATCCTCACAAAATGGAATATACCTTCTTCATTCGTCAACCTGTCAAATAATTGAAGCGCCAAATTGACAATGAGTCATTCAATTGTAAATTCATGTATCATATGCGTTGTCATTGTCTTTTAACTGAATTATGTTCACCAATTAAATTCATTAAATTCTTGAACGTCATTCAACCGTTAAATAACATAAAGTATATCTTATGCACTCTAAAATTTCCAATTGACAGGGCGATTGCCATGCCAAGCTTAAATGTTCGTTGCTTGCATAGGCGATTTCCAACCATTGACCAAATATGTGTCCCACAGTGATCCGCAGTTAGAAATCGCCCGCACACGCAATTGATAACTACAAGTGTATAACATTACTTTCTAAGAGTGCTATTTAAGCAACAAAGTTTCTAGTTTACAAACTTGACATGTGCAGACGCACAGATAGTAACGAAAACAGCTTTAAACCTACGCTTATGAATTGTAACACGGTTTCTAGTTTGTCAATGCGTCTGTATCGCGGACTATTTTCATAGAGGGGAGCACAACTGCAGCCACTGGTCTTTCCGCCATGCCACCGCCTTCATCGATGATCAGTCTGAGGCCTTCAATGTAAAGTTTCCCATGATGACCGCTTACGACAACAGTTGGTTTCTCTGTCAGTTCCTATCAGGACCAAAACACCGTTGATTTCAGTTGCATTTTATTGTATGAGGTTGTCTATCATATCTCAGTTGACCGACAAAAGAGAAAATCTTTATCGAGAACTAACGAACGTAAGAAATACAAAAATCATCGGACAATAAACAGCGAATGTTTCAGTAAAAAGATTGCTGATATTAAGAGGTAGAAAGCCATTACCTTTGGTATATCCCATACATTCTTCCTCCCACTCAGAGCCTCTATCTTAGGCACCCGGGTGTCTCTGGCTTTCAAAAACGCCAACTTGCTGTTTGACATCTTTATCTTTCTCTAAACCAGCATGGACAGCAATCAATCTACAATGTTTGATTCCATCCGCAGTCTCTACGCAAACATCATCCTGGAAAAAAATGCACATCATCAAGACCGACTAAGTTCAGCATCTGGTCCTACAGTTCTCGACTACTGCATTCTGCTCCACGACACACAAAAGGAATCGGAAAGTGAACCAATTGAAATTTTAAGGTTTTTTCTCACATTTTAGTATCTTACACAACGACTTTAGTGTTCATCGAAAAAAAAGATAGCGAATAGAACAGGCCTCACCTCTTCATGGACCCAAACCATATCAGCAAGAAACTTCTTGTGTTCATCGGGAACTGCCTTAACCAAATCTGCCCATAACAATCATTCTTTCAACACACAAAACTACAGAACAAAGCCATGGCATTGAATTTACAAATAAAGCACACAAACCAGTTCGATAGACAGCTGGATTGTAAGTATATGACACTAAGTCACCAAATCACCGAGTACTAACAAGTTCTTTATTGACAAGACCATATTCTAAACAATTCTAATCTACGGGAAGGAGGATTCACATTTGGATGCAAGGGGCGGGAACATTGCCCTAATCCACGTTTGCGAATACTAATAAGTCAATAACACAACAGTACATCCATAACTTAACAAACAAAGTTTAGCATTTGTCAATTGATAGTGAACAGAACTGGAATGCAAATGATTTTTAGGCCTGTTTTGGATTGCTTGTGGAAGGGTGCATTCCGACAACCAAAAGTTTTTCTGTCTACGTTTTGAGAGAAAAAAATTTGAAGCGATTCTGAGATGGAAGAGCTTTCTGGAGAGGCAGCTGCTAGGCGCTGAAGCAATTTCAAGTGCTTACTGCTTTTCCATAAGTTTGTTTTTTGACAAAAGCTTTGATATGTTATCATAAAATCACTTCTATCAGAAGCTCTTTTGAGCAGAAGTCTTTCCACCATAAACAGTCCCAACCGACAAAACAACTTAACAATTAACAGAAACATCAATTGGCACCAAATGGATCAAATCAACAAGCAGAGAATCCAATCAAACAAAACAAAACAAAAGAAACCCAAATCACCAAACAAAAAAACCATGAATCTCACACAAATCCAGAAAAACTCGAAACACATACCAGCAGAACCATGTGGGACCCCATAGGATTCAAATGTAGGCCCGGCATCATAAATTGACCCTTTGTACTCTGTCCCCTTAGCCGCATTAAACTTAGCCTTGATCTTCCCACCCCATCTCCTCCCCTGCAAGTGCATCCTCTCGTACCCATCGCCCTTAAACCACCCTTCTCTATCCTCGCTATCCGCATACTCCTTCCACCCCTCGGAAAACTCCGAACCGTCGGGAGGCGGCGGCAGGACGCTCACGAAGGCGGCGAAGGCCAGGTCGTGGTTGCCGGTGAGGAAGATGTGCTTCTGATTCGGGTACCTGGAGGGCAGGGAGACGAGAAAGTCGATGACTTTTTTGGTGTCCGGGCCGCGGTCGCAGTAATCGCCAAGGAAAATGATGAGGGCGGTGGAGAAATCTGATGGGTCGATGGCGGATTGGAGATTGGACCAGAGGTTTTGGAGCTTGGTGAGGAAGCCATGGGTGTCGCCGATGCAGCACACTATTCTTGGCTTTGCTTTTGGGTCTGACATTGAGTTTGTGTACAGATTTGTGTGGTTAGGTTGAGTCTTTGAGGCTGATGGTGGTTGCGTTGGGCGATCTGGGGAGGTTGAAATTTGTGTTTAGTGGCTGTCATTTTACTGGCGGTTTTGAAACTTTTTGGTGCGACTATTACGGTGTGATAAAATTTATTCAATACGGTCGATATTTTTATTATCAATATCGATATTGATATTTAATATATCTAGATTTGTATATTAATATTTTAAACATAGGTTATGCGTGAATTGATAATACTATTTTGACTTGTCACTGTGGAAGATTTATTTGTTCACGACCGCATTATTCACAAATCAAGTTGTAAAGTCAATAAATATGATACGAGTAACGTTATTTGTTATTGGCACAAGTTGCAGGGTTGTTTACTTTGACAGTTGTACAAGTAAGCCATAAAATAATATAATCGGATGAGTAAAAAAGATACAAGTGAAGTCTAGTTGCTTGCTACAAAGAGAGCTATATATAACGTTTCATGTGACATAGTCGTAGCTTCGTAGGGTCATATACTTTGATAGTTATACGAGTAAGTCATAGAATAATATAATCGGAAGAGTCGAAAAGATACACATAGAAGTCTAATCGCTTGCTACAAAGAAAACTATATATGTAATAGTGACTTCACATGACATGTTACACAAGTAAGCCATAAAATAATATCATCTTGTCATTCAAATATGTTGATGCACAAAATTGGCGAGGACTTTGGTACAACAGAAAGTATGAAGTTTATGACCTTCGCTAGATTGCTCTGGTCATTAGTGTGGATAAATATGTAAATGAATAGAGACAGGGAAACAAATAACACAAGATGTACGTGGTTCACCCAGATTGGCTACGTCTACGGAGTAGAGGAGTTCTCATTAGTTGTGAAGGGTTTACACAAATACATAGGTTCAAGCTCTCTTTTAGTGAGTTCTAGTGAATAGTTTAGTACAAATGACATTAGGGATTATTGTGGGAGAATAATCCCATTTTATAGAAGAGAGTTTCTAGCTTTGTTTTGACATTGACACGTGTCGTGTTGTGATTGGCCTCTGATATCGACACGTGTTGCGTCGTGATTGGCCTCTGATACCGACATGTGTCGTGTTGTGATTGGCCTCCTGGTTGGAGGAAAAGTCTTTTGGGTCCTTGACGGTATGCTGTTGATCGGTGCTTAGTAGTTTCGGGATTGGTCAAGTATGGTACAAACAGTGTTTCCCTAAGTTCTCGAGTGAGGGAAGCTCCTCGATTGGGGACTTGCAAGATCCAAGCCATTGAGTAATCACGAAACTTCCAAATACCGAAGTGTGGTGTCGCCTTCACTTCCCTTCTCTGTCCTA